TTCCTGCAGTCCATCCAGCTACTTTAGCGCCAGCAAATATTGATTGCATATGAAGAGCCTATTATTTTTAGTAATTAAATTCAAATTTATTCTCTATTATTAAAATGACTTACTTGACCTGAATCAATAACATAAATAAGCCAATCAGCATTTTCTTCTTCTAAACGTTGTTTTATTGTTGCCATATCACTTGTATCATATGTAAAACTTCCATCAGTTTTAACAATTGTTAATGGAACATCAATTTCAGGTAGAAACATAACTTTACGACCTTCTTCTAATTTTAATAAATCTATTTAAAAAAAAAAGAGAAAAAGAATGAAAAATATTTGTTTTTTTTTTGTATTGTGGAGATATTAATTATTCATTTACGTTTCGATTCAAGTTCTTTAATAACATCAATCATTCGAGTTTGATAAAATGATTCACCTCGATCAATTATTTTAATATCAAGTTCTTTATAAATATATTCGAAATCTAAATTTATACATTTTAAAATTTATTAATAGAAAAAACAAAAATCAAATTTTATTCTAATCAAACCTTGTCGAGATACATCACAAATAAGTTTCCATGCATGAATTATATCTGGATCAAATGCTTGAAGTTTAACTACACATTCATAAGCTCGTTGTTTAAAATCAGGATCAGAATCAAAACGTTTTTTGGATTCCTAAGAAAATTTTATTTTACAAAAAGAAAAAATTAAATGTTTAATTTAATTTTACTTTATAAAATGATAGAAGATCACTGATTGGTGGTGATTTTGTTTTATATTCAGGATAAATATCTTGTAAGTGAGCAATAAGCATACCAAATTGAGTACCCCAATCACCAAGATGATTTAATCGAAGTACATCAAAACCAACATATTCAAGAAGACGAGCAATACTATCACCAATTATAGTTGATCTATACATATATATATATACAGATAGATAAACAATATACATTTCGTTATAATAATTGATCGAAGGATTGTTAAAATATGAGACAATTAATCTTCAATTCTTGCAAGTGATAGATAATACTTGTTGTCTTTTTAAAAAGTCGTTATATGTACTCTCTATCTTGACTATCTCAAGTTAGCACTGATAATTCAAAATAAATTGAGCGAGGTGAAATGAAATGAGTATGATTTCGATTGGAAAGAGTAAGGATCAATAAAAATTATCAAAGAACTAGACATTGGTAGATTTGCGGTCTTCACATTACAGGAAAGCATCCGAACAGATGTCTGCCATCATTTAAGCCCATATATGGCCTCGATAAGCCTAAAACAAGTTTAAGATGATTTCTCCACACTGGTATTTGCAGCCGAGTTACGGCTGTCATACTGAATTTTTGGTCCACCTATAGGATACGTATCAAAAAGTAAAATTACGACGTGAAACTTTGTCTATGAATCGAATTTTCTGAATAAATGATAGATCGTCACACACATGACAAAAAAAAGTCGAATTAACTTGAAAATTCAGTATGTTGGGAGAAAAAAAATATTCTTTTCTATTGAAATCTTTAGAATATTCTATAACTCATTAGAGCTATATGTGGGAAAATTTAACGTCGAAAATCTAGTAAAATGATTCTGATGGGATCCCATGGAAAAAAACTCTTTTAGAGTTTTTCTAGTCTTACCAAAACTTCTTTCTAAGGCTAGTATAAGCTCAAACGACGGCGGATATCAGTTCGAGTGATTCACTCGTAAGTGTTAGAGAGATACCACGAAATATTAATAAAAATCCGTATATTTTCTATGGACAAGAAAATGTTGAAAGACATTATTGATCATAGTTCGTAACTATTAATGAAGATATTTTAATTTTTCCGACAAATGTTTTGTGTCGAATATTACATCTTTAATCAACTTACCGTAAATGTCCAACATGCATTTCTTTAGCAATATTTGGTGATGAAAAGTCAATAACAACTTTCGGCTTTTTATTTTCACCTTGACTTCCATGATTACCAACTAAGTTTAAAACATTTGGTGGTAAAACACCTTTCAATAAAATATTTCGAATTTGTCCGGAAACAAATTCGGAAGCAAGAGTTACATTAATAAAACCTGGTCCAGAATATTCAATCTAAAAGCAATAAAAAAAAATCTTTATTTTGATAATCATTAAATTATAACAAACTTTTCCAATGATTCCATGTGTGGGAAGATTTTCAACAATGATTTTAGCAACTTCTGTTGGTATCATTTTTTTGCCGGTTGCAGTTATTTTCTACAAAACAAAAAATCCGAGCATTTATTTATTCATTATAATTTCTTCAAACCTGAGCAATAGGCATAGCTGAATTACATTGATAATCAGTTTGTCGTCCAGGTACAACAAGAACTGGTAAAGTTGTATCCTCAGGAAAAGCTTTTCGAATAGCTTGTTCAAAAAGACCAATCAATGTATCCAATACTCGATAAGAATGTTGACTATCACCATGTGCACCAGCTGTAAAATGACTTTTATTTGTTGTTGATGTTGTTGTTGTTGTAGTTGCTTTTTTATTTTTATTATCATTTTGATTTGATTCAGATGATTTTGCTTGTGATTGTTGTTTATTATGCTTAGAATCATCTTGTTTCTTTTCAGTTGATTTTGTTTGTGAGGGTTGTTTTTTGTCTTTATTATCACCTTGTTTAGTTTCTGTTGCATTGGCTTGTGGTTGTTGTTTTTTTAATTCTTCGATACTCTAAATTAAGAATAATATTTTGTAAATAAATTCTTCTATCCAACTTTTTTTGTTTACATTTATTTTACTTACTCGAATAAGAATATTTGCTCGATAGTTTAGTTTTTCATTTTCAGTTCGTAATTCTTCAAGTTTACGATTATCTTTAAATTCCGGTCGACTAAATAATTGTGTTTCAAGTTCTTTGACTTCGTCTTCCTAATAAAATAAAAATAAAAAATAAAAGTTTACACAAATATAATTAAACAGACCTGCTGTTTTAGGCGTGTTTGAAGCTCATCCATCTTCTTGGATTATGCGACTTGTTTCTTTTTTTTCGTTTTTTTTTAAATCTAGAATAATAAAACACAAATTTTTACATACATATATATCTTTTTTTGAAAGATGATGCAAGCATCATAAAACCGTCATTTTTTGTTGCGTCACTGTAAATACTTTGATAATGATTGCGCGCAGAAAAAAATCTATGTTGATTTTCTTGGTAATCTATTCCTGTCGTGAACCTCTTTATTTCTTTCTTCTATATGTCGAAAGTTGGAAACTGGGTTAAATGGTGACTCAGTCCAATTGTAGAAAAATTTAACAATAGATAAGTACCTTGCGACATCTTTCAAGTTTGATTTGTTCCTGTTCACCATCATGTTCAAGATTCTCGAAAAAACGAAAATTTCTCTCTGGTAAATCATCATGTTTCAGAATACTACTCCTACGAAAAAAAAAATTGTTTAAGAAAATAGAGAAATCTACTGAAAACCTTTGATATTTATCAAAGCATGAGAAAAAAAACTTTCAAGTAACTTCGTTGGTTTCTTATATGTTACAAGGAACTTTCCGTACAACTTTAACAACTGCAAGGGTACAAGACAGCAATTTCTAGATAAGTTAACTTATCATTATCCTTCGACTAGAGAACTACTGAGTCATGATAGGAAATACCAAGTACGCAGCAACAGATATCATTTTTTGTGGAATTTTAGAAAATACTCAAAAATGTTTAGTAATTTCAAGTCAATTTTTGAGATACGATTCTTTCTATCCATGAATTTATTTTGTTTATCTTTATGATTAAAGGATAAAGAAAATATGAAAATTTCTTTTCATGTTTCCATATTCTATAAAATTGTGTAAGAAATTTATTGTGACGTTATGACAATAACCGTTACTTTTCCGATGTAACGCATGGAGCAAAGAAAATAGTGCCACTTTTCAACTCATCATTTAGTTAATGTGATCGAAGCTTGAAAGATTTTGAATATTCTGCAGTTTCGAGAATTATGCTTCGATCAACATTTGCTTTAATCATCTTTACAATGTATTCAAATTACCAGATATCTAAAAAGTATCAACTGATTGCCACCACATTGAAGAAGAGTCGATTAATAATCCTTATATTAGTTTTCCTGATGCAATATGAACACGGCACCAAAAACCATGCAAACTTCAAAAAAGACTCATATTGTAGAATGTGAGCTTTAGCATCTTCCAATATACCAACAATTACTTTTTCAAACTCAAGACTTGGAGAAAATCTACAAAATAAGATATCATCTCATCAGTCGTAAATGTTTTTTTACTTTTGTATGCATTGTAAAGTAATAAGAAAAGAATATACAATGAATTGATATACAGATAGATAGTTCGAAAAATTCTGCATCTTTTACAGTTTGAAACCAATATATCTCATCTCATATATTGTCAGATCTGGCCTCAAATACGAACATGACAAGGTAATTATTTTCATACTAGATACTCGACCAAATCGTAGGGCAGTACTTTTGAATAGCTTGCTATACTGAACGATTTTCGATGTTTCTGATTATATTCACATTGTAGATTTTACTGTATATAAATTTGATAAGCTTATGCCACACTTAATTGCACACATTTTCTTTCAACACTTTTATAAACCTAGCTCTATGGTGTGCTACCAGTAATATTATATCATTATATAGTCTATAATGTCTTCTGGCAAACATGCAAGTATGATAGTAAAATCATCAGCATTTATTTCAGAAATGATAAAATAGATTACTCGTCAATCTGAATTTCAGATCAAAGAACTATAGTTTTTGATTATTTTTATTTCTTCGAATGACAATAAAACAATATACACTGAAGTTTATATCCTGTTTAAGTTAAGTAATCTTTTATCTGTGTAAAATATTCTTTAAGATTAGTCTTTATATTGTTGTTGGATATATATATTAATATCATGATCAAGTTTATTTTGAATAAACAATAAAGATTAACTGAAGACTGATATTCAGATGAACACAAAAAAAACATAAAGTAAGACATAATATGTATTATTTTTTTTGTTTTTCCATTGTTTTTTTAGCTTTAAGTTGCATATAAAGTTTTTCAATGTCTTCAGCTTCACGATCAATAACAACAGATCTATTTTTCTTTGTTGATAATGAAGATTCTTGTTGTTGTTGTTGTTGTTGTTTACTTGATGATGATAAATTAGTTGATGGTAATGTTTTTCGTTGATAAAATGATTGTTTTTCTTTTGATGAATGATCATCGGTATGTAATCGACTTATGTTTGAAATAATACTTTCACGTATAAGACTAACTTAAGTAATAAAGAAAAAATATTTTATATACTGACCTATTTCCATTTTTATTGATTTCATTTATAGAAGATTTTTGTTCGATTGAATGTGTTCTGTCATGTGAAATAGGTTGAGTACTTGACAGAAAAAAAAACAAAATAAACAACATTTTTTGATTTGAAAATAAACTAAAAGCATACCTTGTTCGAGTAGTAGTCGATTTATCACTAAAATTAAAATTAAATTTAATCAATAGAAAAAAAAACTATAAATCTATACCTTTCAGTAATATCAATTAAAGGTATTGATTTTGGTTTTTTCATTTCAATTACATCAGATAATGGTGATGATGAAATCGTTGATAAAGAATGAGTTGCTGTAGAACTACTTGATGAAGATGATGATGATGAAGATGATGATGATGATGAATTTGTTCGACTACTACTGCTACTACTAGTACTAGTACTGGAACTTGATCGTTTTCGTTTTGATCGATTATCATTTGACGATGAACTCAAAAGAATGTTGATAGGATGCCAAGAAGAATTTATTATTTGCCAATATTCTCACCCTTTCACCAATGCTTTTCGTCTCGTTGGCGATCTTGAATATCGTTTATCTTTTGAAGATCTATTTAATACAAAGAAAAGAAATTTTTTAATTAATTTCTTTCATTTAAAAAACCAAAAACATACGATTGTACATCCGATGGTAAACTTGGTCCATATTCCAATTTTCTTGTTGCTTCTTTTTTCTAATTAATCCAGTGAAAAAAAAAGACTTTCGTGTTCTTAACATAAAAATTAAATTTTATTTTACCTTTGCACGTAATATATCTAATTTTCGCTTTGTTTCATGATCATCAGGCTTATATTTTAAGGCTTTTTCAAGATAATATATTGCAGTTTCATTATCATCAGCACTAAATAAACAATCGTGTTTTTATCGACTTTATATTATAATTTTCGAAAAAAGTGTAAGTTTTAACTGTTTTTTCGTTTGATAAATCTAATCGCTGTTTAACTTACTCATTAGCCATATTATTCAATATATCATGTAAATATTTTAATGCATTTACATGTTTATGATCAATTTTTAAAGCATCTTCAAAATCTTGCATTGCACGTTTATAATGACCTTGATTAGCTGTCAAAGCACCACGTGCAACAAGTGCATCAACACATTTCGGATCTGTACTTAGAGCTTTATTAAAATGAAGTATAGCTGAAGTTGAATCATTATCTTTCATTAATCGTATGCCTTCCGCAACACTTAAAAACAAAGAAAAATAAAAGAACACTTTATAATTTTATTTTAAATTATACTTATTTTACCTTTCGATTGCCCATTCATGATCTTGTTTTTGACGTAATTTATCAAAATATTCATCTGATGGAATATGTTTTCTATTTATAGAATTAAAAATAAGTGGTTTTTAAAGAAAACAATTTACTTTTTAAATGAATTAATTAATGTCATATGTAATATATCATTAGATGATTCAATATTATTATCATCAGAATGAGAATATTCAAATCGCTTTTTTAACCGTTGATAAAGTGTTTGAACGCAAGCTCTATTATTGAGTGCTTTTGAAGTTTGTAGAATATCTTCATAAGATTGAGATTGTTCTTCTTGTCGGCGTAACAAACTAAAGAATGAAAAAAAAAAAAAACATTCAAAATTTCAAGCATTCCAAAATATTTGCAACATGGTTCAGTTTGCATGTATCAATCATAGAAGCTTGAGTTTTTCATTGGAACATGTGCCATCAAACTTTCTATAATCTTAATTTTGAAAACAGAACTGAATATCACATAGCTATCTAAAGTGCATGTTAGTTGTGCATATGTATGGAGTTTTTTTGTCCATTCGACAGCGTTTTTCGACAAAGGAATTTTTAGGACATCGAAATATTTTCTTTCTTTTCAAAAACATAATAAAAAATTAAAATGAGCTTATATTTGTAAATCATATTTGTCTTTCTATTCGAAATCCAAATAATATGATTTGTTCTATGATACGGTTGGAATAAAAAGCTGAATACTATCAAAAAGTCTATTTTCGCTGTGTCAACTCATGAGAAAAGTCTTCCAATTGATAAATCGAGACTATATGTATTATGTAGACCCAAATGAGTTACCCTTGCGCTCAGAAAAGCTTGGATACTTAGATTATTGTTGTGGAGATATTCACTTTTTCGGTATTCTTTAAATGAATGTCGTGGTTTCCTTTAAAAAAATTGATTTTTGAATTTTGACTTGAAACTTTTCATAGAGACAGTGTTTAACGAGAGTAGTTCAAGTCTTTTGATTTGCTTCTATCGTCAAATAAGAGCATCAAATCTGTTTCTTTCAGTATTTAGAAGACAAACTATTACCATAGTTGTATCGTACAATAGGAACAGAGACAAGATCAAACATATGCACAAGATATTATTCTCCTTAAGGTCTGTCATTATGCAAAGTTTCAAGTCGAAAATCAATTTTCCTGCTATCACGGTGTTCATTTACAGAATATTGTAAAAATGCAGTGTCTCTGCAGAAATAAAATAAGACTATGAACTGTTCTTAGGTTATTCATACCGCATTTGGATCTACATAATACACATAGTCTCGATCAATTAGTTGAAGGTCTTTCTCTCGTAAAAAGAAACTACTCCTATTCATCCAAAAAAATAATGATAAATTTTATTCTTTTAAATAAAATTAGATGGAAGCTTCTCAAGAACTGGACCACATATTTCCTAAATAAAAATTCAAGATTTTAAGGATTATTCATGCATAGATATATGCAAAATAATCCAAGCTACGAACATCTTGGAACACCCATTATATAAAAAAGTTTATATCAATTACACATAATGTTTTGGTAAATCATCTTCATTAATAAGACCCTAGATAAAAACGAAATATTACTTTGAATACAAAATTTTTATTTAAAATATTTACCAGTTTTTTAGAAGAATGATGATGATCTAAAATAGAACAGAATTCGAAGAGCAAACAAAAAAATCAAAATTAATTATGAAAACATACGATTCAAAGATGGATCAATTGTTAATTGAATTTCTTCCTTGTGTACATCGACATGAGTTACACAAGCTAAACGCGTAATAAAAAAAGAACAATATGAACATTTTTTGATCTAACAACTAATTTACCTCGTATCAAATCTCCACTTTGATATTCTCCATCATCTTTATCTTCATCACTAATTTCTTGTACATCTCGATCATATTTATTTTTTTTACGATAATTATTAGTATTCTTACTACTTGATGTATTCAATAGGCAAGTTGCCTAGATTTAAATCATAGTTATTTTCTTTAATTAACTATTGATATCAAAATTGTACTTACAGTAAGTTTAAGGTCATGTAATGCTCGTCGATGTCCATCATCAAAACATAAAATACGTACAAGCATATCACGTGAACTAGCAGTGATTACATGACAAATAAGAAGATGACCAGGACGAATTAGCTATAAAAATAAGTTGTTCAGTAATATAAAAGAATCAATGAAATCTTACTTTAAAAAATTGTTCACGACATAGTCGCGATGAAACATGAAGAAAATATTCAATTGGTGGAGTAATAACAAACAGATCTATATATATGTATAATAAATATTAGTTTTGTTTATGATGCAAAATAATAACAAACTTGGATCTTCGTCTTCAATATCAACGGATGACGAAGCAATAGAATTAAATCTATTTAATCGAGGATGTCGAATATCTGTTGTATTATCTGATGGAAATAGTGTTGATGAATGATGATCAATAAATTCTTGAACACAATTGTTCAGTGATTTCATTATGCACAATAATCGTTGAGCAAATTTATTCGAATATAGAAAATCAAAAAGACTTCGATCGATAATAACAATAGATACATATGTCTATTTGCAAGTTATTCTCTTTTAATGGACAAGTCAATAGATCCAATGAAATAGTCAAATGACTGTCGATAACAGTACTCAGCGACATCTGAGTACTGATATGACCTTCATGTCATTAAAGTCGCAATTGATTAGACAATAAATGGCCTAAATTGACGATTTTTTTTCGATTTCTAGAGAAAATTTTGGTTTTTCTAAATAATACTTACTGTTGATATTATTATTGAAACTGAGCTAAATAAAAGAAAAACAATATTTTTTTAATAATGATACTTACTGTTGAAGTGCCTTGGAAGATCTCCACTTGATCATGATTTATAGCATTAGACGAAAAATCACTGATGATTCGCGATTAATCGACGATTTTTTTCAAATATCGTAACTAATTGTAACAAGTAATACGATTTAGATGACATGAGCTCATGTAACTCATAGGAGAGCCATTTTAACTTTTCATCAGTTACAATTCTATATGGTGAGTAGAGTTGAATGATTTGAATATCCAGTATAAATGGTATTCGATAATATTGAATATTTATTATATCAATTTTTTTAATGAATGAAAAGAAATTCATCATTATAAAAAAATTTTTATTTAATCGACGGTCGAACTAACATAATAAATAGATTCAACATGTAATTCTTGCTTAATTTTCATGATGAGAAAAATCTTAATCATTTTGTCGTTTGATTGATATATTTTGAAACTGCGACAAAAAAGTGTTATGTAAGAGTAGTGCTTTTGTCTTTTTGGGATATTTTGAGTATTTCGTGTATATTTTTTAATTACTTTTTTCAGTAGAAATAATAGTTGGATTGCATTAGTTTTGATGTTTTTTCGCGATAAAAACATTAAAAAACAGCCCGCGATTTTCAAACTTATCAGATAAAAAAAAATAATCGCATAATGAGAACATGAGAAACTGAAAGAAATATGATATTTATTTTTAAGGTTTCATCGACGGATGTTCCATGTTTCTTTCATATGTATTCAAGAGTTGTTCAGAGAAGGCTAAAACTTTGAATTTGTAGGTTTTCTTACATGCTCTTTTATTTATGATCATAAGAAACATCCGTCAAAATTCTTCATATGACATGATTTCTTGATTGGGTCATGGATCGTCTCTTGAGTTTTCATTTTAACCAAAGTTCAAGCGATTTCAATCAATAGAATTTGATTATTTCTTGTATGAATGAGCTTAGATAAAAAACTGAACGCGTAAAAACATGCGTTTTCCAAGGGGTTTTTTGTTATTGTTTATTTGGCTAACTAATCATCCGTTGCACATTGTGCGTATCGAAATATTTGAAATGTTTTCATCAATGTTTCCGAAAATGATACGGTAAACTGGGTTTACATAATCAAACATGAAACTAGTCAAGACGATTTAAGATTGATTAGACCAATCTATCCAATTTTTTTTTCAATTAACATAAAACAATGAAATGAACGTAGTGCAACTATCATGTTTATCGCAAAGTTTTAATTTAAACATGATGGTTTTTTTGTTGAAAAAATAGTATTTACATTAAATTATACTCAGATATTTTTAGTTTAATATAATAGATTACTCTCAAGAAGAAGAAGAAGATGATTCTTATAACTAAGTTCATTATTAATCTGTTCTGATTTTGGTATGAAATGTTCGAACACATGAATTTTTTGAAAGTACATTACTGCTCTTGCCTATATTTTTCATACTTGTATTATGATGATGATTATATGCGAACAGACGACCATATATAGGCAAAAAAATTAGAAAAGATAGAGGAATCATATGAATTGAAAAGATATTTTGTTTTTTTTTGTTAATTTTCATGGTTAATTAATTGTTTCGTTTGGAAGTTTTTACAAGGTTACATTTTGCAGACTTGGTAAACAAGTGAAATACCAACACCGTACTGAATATTTCTGTGAATTTGTCGTAGCAGAGAATGAGTCAGAAAATTTCAAACATCAGAATTAAACTGACAACGATCGTTCAAATTGAATTAATCTACTGTATTTTAATGAACAATTTCAAGATGAATCAATAATAATCAAGTAATAATATCTGTATAGTCTTTTTCTAGAAGAAATTCTTTGTTTTGAACAAATTAAAAGAAGTTAATGAAGCATAGAGTTATATCTTGATGGCAGCTACATATTTTCTTATCGTAGATCTTTTTTTTTTTTTATAAATAAGAATCGCATCATATACTACGCATCATTCATTTGTTGTTTTCTTCTTAAAGCATAAAAATGACAACGTCTATATCTTGCTTGTCATTTGTTCAAAAAATATTAACACGATATGGTATGAGTACATATGTTGCATTTGGAAATCTTGGTAATTTATTAGCTATTGCTGTTTTCTGTCAATCTGAACAACGTAAAAATGCTTGTTCACTTTATTTACTATCAATGGCAATATGTAATTTACTTTGTCTTGATGTTGCACTAATTCCCATAATATATTCATTAGATCATATTGATATAACTACTGCATCTCTAATTGGTTGCCAAATGCAATTTTATTTTCGACATGCTTTTTTTCAAATGATGCGTACATATAAAACTCTTGCATGTATTGATCGTTATGCTATTTGTAGTACTAATGTTCGCTCTCGCTCATTTAGTCAACGTAAAGTGGCTATCTATATAATTATAGGTTGTGCCTTATTTTGGTCATTAGCAGTAATATTTTTTGCTCGGGCACGAACAATTCAAAATGGTTCATGTAATATATTTAATGAAATTTATTCAATGATTTATACAATTTATTATATGATATTCACTGGAATTCTTCCTCCATTATTGATGATCATATGTAGTATATTAGTAATGAAAACTTTACGAAACTTGCGAAGTCGTGTTCAGCCGAAAAGAGAAGATCGAGAAAAGAACCGATCTATTAATATAATTCGAAAACGTGACCGCGATTTAATGAAAATGATTTTTACTGAAGTTATGTTTTACGTTGTTACTACAATACCATATTCGATATATCTTATTTATAAAGTGATAACAGATTCTTTAATAAAAAGTCAACAACGAAAACAAATTGAAACATTTATTAATTATATGGTACAGTCGTTTATATTGTATTTTAACACAGCCGTACCATTCTATATTTATATTGCAACATCACCTACGTTTAGACGAGAATTAAAAAGAGTTCTTATTAAATTTTATGCTTTTATTACAAGAAAACAAATTAGAGATGAACAAGATACTATTACTCAAACAATCACTGCACGTGCTTAAATTTTGACTGCTTATATTTATTCATTGATTTTTAATTCTTACGAATAAATTCTTTAGTAGCTATAGACCTACCATCAACTTTTCAATATATATAAGTTCAATCACTCGGAAACAATCGTTCTTTCATATTTAACTACAGAAAAAGTAATCTACTAAATTAAAGTTTTGTTAGCTTTTCTATGGAATAAGAATTCGACCGTCTATTTTTTTCAGGTATGTCCATAGAAAAAGTTCAACCGAGTACAAATTTTCAAATTAATCTCAAAGTATCTTTAACTCAACCGACTCTTATGCATGTAGACATTTACTAATCGACAAGTAACCCGAGTAGTAAAAAAATGATTCCGATCAAGAAATTTATTGACTATTGGATAAAAGTGTTTCTATTTGTCTATCTGTCATGTAAACATGATTCAAGAAGCAAAAGATAAGTGATGACACCGAACACTACTATTCTAAAGTTTCTAGTATATCCGCCAGGTGTAGTCTGCAACGTTTTGGATAGCCGTTAGGATTTGTCGCTTGCTAGA